GTAACTCATTTTTAATAAACACCTAACAAGAAATTTCCCAATTCCTCTACAGTGTGTGTGTGTGTGTGTGTTTATTAAATATCTTACAGATCATCAGGACAGTTTTTATTTAGGTTGGGGTAGTCTGTGGCCAGTAGTTAAATAGTTTAACATATTTTCAGGTAGTACATCTTCATAAGGAGTCTTTCCTCTTGTCATTATCTCCCACAGTACAACACCAAATGACCACTAGAATATACAAACAATGAAAGACCACCAGGTACAAGCTATACAGTATATTGGGACATGTACATGTACAGTAAGTCCAAAATAGCTGCTGTGTATTATCATCAACGAAAAGTGAAACTACATGTACATGTAGCTTAATGGGAACATTTTTCAAATGCTGTGATAATTTTTAAAAAGGAAATTTTAATCATTATGTAGTTTGGTTCAAATTTTAGCCATTAATTTTAAAGATAATTATTAATTTTGAGTGGTGCATTACAATTTGAAAGCTGCATGTACAATATTAATTACAGCCTGTGCGATAGTAGTAATATCATAGTGTTTACATGTATTTAGTATTTTAACTCCATCATAGTATTTAGCCATATAGTGTTTACATGTGGAAGTACAATGATTTAAATTTAAGAATAAACCAATGCATTTATTAATTATTTTGCAAAATCACATTATACATGTACTAGCTAATTTGCTAATTGTTCAGATATAAATACAAGATCATGTGTTGATATATATATATATATATATATACACTGACCAGACTGGAGAGGGATGGAGAGGGGGGGAGAGATCTGAGAGGAGGAAAGAAAAAGGAGAAATACAGCATATATACACACACAAGATAAAGTACATACATGTATGCAGGCAGGAAGGAAGGATTAACAATTAACGTATCTATCACATACCAAGTAGCTATAAACATTATTGATGTACGTTTACATGTACATTAGTAACAGAACATAGTAATAAAGAAATAAATATAGCAGCCTGCTGCAGGTGTGTAAAATCATCACAAAATTATGTTTTGCTCTGATGTAAATTGTACATGTACATGTAACAACACATCAACAAATTTAATAATATACTTGTTTTATACTACATGTACTTTACTAAATAAGAAAGAGGAAGGAAAGAAAGAAAAACATTAATGGTGCCAAGTGAAAGAAAACATGCAGGTACAAAATATAAACAAGATACAGTTTTTGCTGCCAAAATATACAATGGGCAGCACAAACTGTATGCATAGTGCGATCATCCTATAATAACACACACAACCTACAACGTTACTATAAAACAAGCTGTACAACAGAGGTATAACTTCATTCTCAACTGTATCTCCATTTTATGATACTATAGTGTAGTGGGCAATAAAACAAGCTGTAGAGCTCAGACA